TGTCTTCTCACCTTATTGCTTAAATCAGTCTGCTCTGTTCAGGCTTAAACTAAGAATAACTGGCCATTTGATCGGTAGAAGTGTTTTCAAAGATAGACCTCTACATTGTAATTCTTTAATGATTACAGAATTCTGAAGCGATTTTGTCAGTTGGAAATATCTTCTAACCAATGTTTTGAGGAAAAGAACAGAGCAAAATCAAAGGGCATCGAATCTATGTATTGTTGTAATTTGTGAGCAGGTCAATACAAATGTAGGGTCTGTGAAATTATACAGATCAAGTTAACATTAGTTACATTTCTATAAACTCAGCCATTCCGGTGTCACTTATTTTCAGTGATCCCTCTATATAATTTTCACTGCTATTTTATCTTAAGAACCAAGTAGAATTTGATCCTGCATCTAAATTGGGGATAAAGGATAAATACTATGCACTAGTATGTGGGGCCTAGCACATATCCACAGCAGGAAGCACCCTGAAGGATCTCAGGCAAGGAGATGAGTAGATAGGTTCCATAATTACCAAGTCTCCCTTAGACAATTCCAGGGTAATAACAGACCTCGAGAACCCAAAGCATTTCTCCTTGTCTGGATTCCAAATCAGAATAAGGGATCCTAACTGCCCCATGGTTGTTTCCACCCTGTGACTATAGGACAGATACCCAAAAGCTTGTCTGCCATAGATCAGATGACAGGATAAACTGTAAGAGTGAGTGAGTAAGCTCAGTTTTATGCCGCTTTTAGCAATATTCCAGCGGGGGACACCAGAAATGGGCTTCACACATTGTATCCATGTGGGGAATCGAACCGGGTCTTTGGATTGACAAGCGAATGCTTTAACCACTAGGCTACCCATCGCCCCTTATTTCAGAAGGAAATTTGCCATTTATTTTCCCCATGGGAATATGGATCAGAATCATTCCCCAGCACCCCATTGAGGTTCCCCCATGGAATAGGTTCCCAGTGCCCAAGCATGTCTCCTCTCAGGACACTGACTGACTGACTGAGTTTAGTTTTTACGCCGCTTTTAGCAATATTCCAGCAATATCACGGCCGGGGACACCAGAAATGGGCTTCAGACATTGTGCCCATGTGGGGAATCGAACCCGGGTCTTCGGCGTGACGAGACAACGCTTGAACCACTAGGCTACCCCACCGCCCCCCTCTCAGGACGAGATAGAACAGGTACACAGCACCATAAGCTGGCCATACAAGCTAAATGTAAGGAGGATGAGATCATCACTTTGCGTGACCTAAGGGTCCCATCTTCTCTCCACGGTGTGGATCACTGCTTCTGATATGAATCACTAGTCTGAGTGGTCCAGATTTGATTAATTACAGATGCCAGAGATATATGTCTGCTGCATAAAACAACATTCAGACAGAAATAATCTGTCTACTCCAAGCTCAGACGTGTATCACAGATATATAGATGGAAGATGGATGACATTGTACTTTATAGTTGTCTCTGCGGTACCCAATACCAATATTGTCTTACAGAGACACTTGAACATTATCTTGATGAGACAGACTTGACCAGAAGTGGCTTTAACTCAATTCCCAGAGAGGAATATGGGAGCCTTTTATCTAACAATAATCTAAATATGTCGAAGTCTATGTAAAAGAGTCAAGTTTAGACTTTCTCACCAAATAGTCTCTTTGTTCAATGGTATTACAACCCCAAAGAAAAGGATTTCCAGGTTTTCTATTTATAGAATACCTTGATGAGCACCGAATGACGATCTTCACCATGTGCATGGAACATTTACCAAATGATCCAGACAAATTGCAAAGCTCGGAACAAGGAAAATCACTCTTTTCATTCGGTCATCCAGTAATTGAAAAGTGAAATCTCATTCTCCTTTTTGGGGCTATGAGGAGATTTCAACAAGGAACCCAAGAATACCCTGATAGCAGCAACATCTAATACTCTTGGCATGCACATCATCTGCCTGTGGCCCCATATACCAGACAGTTTGCATTACGTGGTATGAGGCACATCTAGTACTTCCCTTCTAGATTGCCTGCCAGAGAACCTGCCCTCCATTATAAATAATCGATAAGAGCGGATTCAGTCCCAGAGAGGCAGTACAACAAAGTACAGCACAGTACAACTCAGGATGACACAGGGCAACCTTCCTGGCATCTCTGTGTGTTGTGCCAAAGCTGCATCTAAGAACTTAAATGCCAAGACAGGAAGTCAAAGCCAGTACAATGTAGTGCCAGCAATAGCATGTGGCATGGAAGCTTCCTATCTATCATCGTTTGTATTGATTGTGTATTTTATATACACTTGTGTGGATTGTGGCTCAAGAACTCCTTGCCTTGACATATGTCTTTTACTGGCGAAAAAAACTGGTGCTTGATCACTTCAACTGAGCTTTTAATGGTAATCCTTTTGATGCAAGGCTGTCAGGGATGCTGTGATAGGTGAATGCTGTTATATGTCAACATTCTTAAAGGTTATGGCTGCCGTTTTGGCAGTATTCCTGCAATATCACAGCGGGGGACACCAGAAATGGGATTTACACGTTGTACCCATGTGGGGAATCGAACCCAGGTCTTCAGCATGACGAGCCAATGCTTTAGCCACTAGGCTACCCCACCACCCCCACAAAGTAGAGAAAACTTTCTACATGTGACTTGTGAAGATCCAGGTGAGAACCGATCTTCAGTAACCCATGCTTGTCGTAAGAGGTTACTAACCGGATCGGGTGGTCAGGCTCGCTGACTTGATTGACACATGTCATCATATCCCAATTGTGTAAATCGATGCTCATGCTGTTGATCACTGGATTGTCTGGTCCAGACTTGATTATTTACAGACTGCCGCCATATAGCTGGAATATTGCTCAGTGCGACTGAAAACTCACTTCAAACAAGTGAGGTATGAGAGGAGAGAGGTCAAGTCCTCCATCCCATTATGGATCAGCCAATGATGTAGGGTTAGTCATCAGTTACTCCGCAGCAGCAACAGAAAAACCAAGTTGAGACTTGCATCTTGCACACTCATAAATACATTCTGAATGACAGCTGGTAAAAGTAGGCAATCATGAGGTCCTGGTGAGCCGCAGTGACAGAGCTGTGTTTCCTATATCCTACGATGGACACACACAAATACATTCTTAATGAGCATGGGCAAGTGAAGATGATCGGGACGCTCATATATATTGACAGTCCAGTAATCTCTATATTCCACCAAGAGTAACAACTAAGCCCACTTGTCTCCCCAATGATGCTCAATGAGGGGTGTTGGACAGAAGAGAATCTCTGAAAGAAGTAATTACTGGACATTGCCTGACAGATTACTTCTACAGAATAAACCCACACACTTGTGTTTAAAATTTGGTGTGAATCATAATCACTCATGTATACCACTACACTACTGCCCCAAATATGGGCATATATCATTTGAATGAAGCATTGTTGAGGTGAACAGTCACAATACCATGGCATTGCCTCTGAAGGCAGCATCTTATTACAACTAGTGATTGAGTGAGTTGGGTTTAACAGTGCTTTTAGCAATAATCAAGCGACATCACTGTGGAGGGCACCAGAGATAGGCTTCACATTGTACCTTTGTGGGGAATCGAACCGGGGTCTTTTGTGTGATGAGCCAACACTTAAACCACTAGGGTCCCACACTGCCCCGTATAGCAATGAAATTTCCCATCATGCATGACGATCACATGATACACATGTACACAGAAGCCAAAGTGTGTGTGTCTGGGGGGGGAACTCTCAACCACTTATGCAATTGAACTAAGCATGTTTAAAATTCCCCAAGACAGTATCTCAGTGAACAGACATTATCAACAGAGATATGGAGGTGAATTCCAGCATTTACTACACCTCTGCTCTATGCAGATCACACCTGGAAGCAAGGATGCCTTGGAGGGTGTAAGTCTAACTGCTAACCATGGGATGGTCAGGAAACATCAGGGTGGGCTTTGCAATGCCAAGGAGGTGCTGTTGGCCAATGGCATCACACAATGTTTAGCTTTTGATTCACAAATAGCAGAAAATATTGCTGGCCACGTAACGACGTTGAATGCCAGAGCTACAATCCTTGACCATGATCGATAATGGGCAGCTAGTCTGGTAGTCTGTCATACAGACCCTGAATTAAATGTATCCAAGAAAGCCCATGAAAGTCTAGAAAATGTGGCAAGTCTAGATTTCCACAGCTTCAGGAAGAAAGTCTCAGGGCTCCTTTTCATTATATTTTATTTTTTTTACTATGAGCTTTTTTTTCTGTAAAATATGTTCATTTCGGAGACTAGTTGTTTGTCTAGTAGTCTGTTAACACACATGACAACCAAACTGAATTCGCTATTGTGAATGGACATTTGACCGCATGTTGATGAAATTTTGTGTCCCGGTTGGTAGAATTCACTAGGTGTATCGGAAAAATGTCTGAGCTGCAAATGACAATATCAGACCACATCAAGCCAAGGTCTTCATAAATTATCTCCTGTGAGAAAGCATGCAGACATTTTACCACCTGTGAAGTCACCTGACATGTACCCAACAGAGCATCCAAGAGCGGAAGCATGAGAACCAACACCTGTGAAAGTGTCCCAGCTTGGGGTAGTCCTTCAGGAAGAATGGCCATCAGTATCAATGGCAACTATGTGCAGGTTAATGAACAGCACACTGTCAGGGTGTCATGCATGTAGCAACTTGGTGGACACACCAGATATTGATCTACATGCCTGGAATTAAGTTTATATACATTCATCATTACACCTTCACTACCATTTCATGAGTTTCTTGTCAGTAGGATAATTAGAACACCAGATGTTCTACTAGCCAGCTTCATAATCACCTTGTGACTTGATGTACACAAGGATTTACTGAATGATAAATATTGCAGCCTATGAACTTGGCAAACATGGACACTCAGAGTGAACAGTAAGAGTGAGTGAGTGAGTGACCTCTTGGCAATATTCCAGCAATATCACAGCGGGGTAAACTATAAGAACTGTCAGTCTCATGGGGTGAGTGAGTTGGGTTTTACGCAGCTTTTAGCAATATTCCAGCAATATCACGGTTGGGGACACTAGAAATAGGCTTCACACATTGTGCCCACCTGGAAAATTGAACACAGGCCTTCTGTGTGAACGCTTTAATCACTAGCCCTGGTTATGGGCTTGAATGATTAAACAAGAAGTAGGATTCACATGAAATTATCTGGCATTTAACATGGCACTCTGGTCTGCTTACACATGGTGTGTGCATGCGTTTGTTTGCATGCATGCATGCATGCTGCTTGTCCTAGTCCGGACTGACTGTGATATGGCAGTGGTAGCCAACTGAGACACCATGCTGCAGTTTAACATGGGTATTCCATTCAGACTCCAAGCTGACCAGTCCATGTTTTATTCCCTTAACGCTGAGTACCAGGCAAGGTAACAATAATACCACCTCTTTCCATCTTTTGGTTTGATGCAGCTCAGGATCAAACCATTTACCTTCCCCTCACATGGCAAACAGGACGAGTGAGTGAGAGAGTGAGTGAGTGAGTGAGAGAGTGAGAGAGAGAGAGAGAGAGAGAGAGAGAGAGTGAGAGAGAGAGAGAGTGAGAGAGAGAGTGAGTGAGTGAGTGAGTGAGTGAGTGAGAGATGTGCAAGTGCATGTGTGGAGATTATGTGCGTGGCTGCATGGTTATCTAATGAGTATGTCAGTCATGTCAGTGGATCAGTTCTTTGCTATATTTCACATAAATGTTGTCCAATTATTGTAAATTTGAAGTACATTATAATTCGAGATCTATGTCACTGACATTTGGATCTTTATCCAGTGTCATTTTACTTATTATTTCCCATTTGTAAAAAAAATACACTTTCATGAGGGTATCAAATTTCCAGTTAAGTGTCTAATACTAAATGTCCTGCACAAAATTATTTATCAAAAGATACCCATCTCCCTCCATCAGGTCAACTGCAGGCAGTGCTACAATGGGGAGTAATTGTTCTAATCACATTCAGACGGAAATGCTTTTGAAATATTTCTGACAGTTATAATGATGTAATGATGATAACGGGGAAAAAAATCCAAGTGTAAAATGAATCCATGGCATCTCATACTTGATGTGACAAAAAAGTTCACATTTTTTTTTAATTGTTAGAATGATTAAAATTAATGAGACAGAAAGTGACAGTGATGTTTCTTGATATGAACAGGCTTGATTGCAGGTGAAGAGGAGATAATGAAGTTCTTAATATCTCCTTGCATGGAAACAGATCCTGTCAATGTATGCCAGGACACAGAGAGAGGCTGTGTATTATATCCAGTGCTAGTATGAGTGAGTGAGTGAGTGGGGGAGATGGGTTTATTGCAGTTATATCATGGCCTCTCAGCATACTGTAAGAGGAAAGTCCAAAGTGATGCAGCTCTAAAACCTTTATACTTCATGAAAACCATTAGCACAGACATGGTGCTGACAAACCTAGAAACATAACCCAGAGGAAATGGGATTTGAACCCAGACCCATAAGTTTCTGGCATGCACAAGGGATGCATCTTTGAGGCCACTAAGTGTATGAAGAAAGCAACCAGTGATGCACCTTTGAAATGTTTATAAATCTCTTTTGGCGAACCCTTAAATAATGGTGTGGGTATTTAATACTGTGGATTATAGTTAGATAAAAACTGGTACAGTCATGATCAGCAGATCCTTAAATAATGAAGGGGCATAACTCTGCATTGCAAATTGCACCACTGTAGGCCACGGCATCTCAAATGTTGTGAAAAGAAAATACATTAAAGTGATAAAAATGTTGCTGTTTTCATTTGATACAATGATATAGGAACTTTGTCTATGTCTTCCAGATTTCAAATGCTCATGTAAATTACATTTTTGTGACATCATTTCAAAGATAAATTTCGACACCTAAATGGCTTTACTTATCCACAAAGATTATTTTTGTAACTTTTATCATGTCAATGATGACATTCGTAGATACACCAGTGAGGAGAGTGCCTATTTTAGACCATGCCGTGGTAGCATTAAACAAAGAACCTCAACTGGATGTAAACACTCTCAACCCATGCATTAAATACCACCACTGATCCTCATGAAGTCGGAGAATGTTCATGCATTTTCTTTAAAAGGTGTCTGTGTTTGACTCAAACTCTCTGCCATAACAACCTTTGGTGAGAACTCTTTGGAGACATCCCAACAAAGCAACAAAACAGCTGAGAAACCTTTAGAAGATGTCATGCACTTTGAAATACAGAAAATGGGGACTGTTTAATTTCTAGCAAATGAATCTCGTGTGATTCCACACTAGTCCAAAAAGCTTGATACAGATTTACTGCATTGCTACAATAATGAGTAAGAGAGTGAATTTGGTTTAACACAATATTCCAGCAATATATCGATGAGAAACACCAGAAATGGGCTTCACACATTGTACCCATGTGGGGAATCAAACCCGGGCCTTCTGCATGATGAGCGAATGCTTTAACCACTTGGCTACCCCACTGCCCCCTTGCTACAATAGTTGACAGAGAGCAATTGTGTAGCCATCTGATACAACCAATAAGATTGTGCTGTACATAGATCTACACATAATATGTCTATTTATAACTGTTGTCAATAATTTACCAACACATATTCCAACAGGTGTGGAAGGCAAAATAGAGAAAATGATATGAATGGATAATGTGCTTCATGAAACAGGGAAGCATGTCCTGGCCTATCGGCAGCACCTGCCTTACACACATATTGCATAAATAATGGGTGTACATGAAAAGGTTGTTCGTCTAATTATTATATTAGTCTGATGCCGAACAGTTCTTTTTGTTCATCAGCATCCTCTCAACTGATCTTAGAATTCATTTCAGGGGCGGATCCAAAGGGGGTGCGCACCCCCACTTTCCCCGAAAAAACAATTTTCCCAGAAATTTTCCCCTAACCTTTGACTTCAGCATTTCCCCTAACCTTTGGACTTCTCCAAACTGCTGGATCTGCCCCTGCAGTTGATCCGAACCTCGTTTCAGTAGGCCGGGACCCATGAAAATCCTGGTTGGAACTAGTCCTCTATGACCAATGTCTATCCTATACCTATGGGTTGAAATGAATTGGGCTTTATAAAAAATCGGCATTATTTCAGCCATATAATGAAAAGAACCACGTGGGTTGATTTGAGTTGGGCTTTACGGCACATCTGCATTATTTCAGTCATATAGTGACGAGACCAAGTCTGCATTTCGTAAGAAATGACCAATGGGATCGGGTAGTCATACTCGCTCACTTGGTCATTGTATGATAATTCCGTAATAAGTGTTCATGATGTCAATCACTAATTCAGGCTTGCCTATTTAAAGATGGACACTATATTGGTGAAATACTGCTAAGTGTGCCATTACACAACAAACAAACATTATGCCTATGGTAACTTATGTTTGGTCAGAACAAGGACATGAAATGCCAGTATAACAAGTTGTCATGCAAACAGTATCTCCACAAGCTGGTAAACTGTTTCTAACTGGTGTACACTTACAATGTACAAGGAGCAGGGGGGATTATCCAGCAAATCATCAATTATTCAGCTGCAACAGAAGAGACAGAAATGGCATGCCGCTAAGAGATGGAAAATCTATCCTGTTAATGTTCGGAACTTAATCTTAACTGTCACTGATATGTGCTACTATAGAAACCAGACAGAAATACTGGCACCAATTCCAGACACACAGGCTTTTCACTTTCTTGCACTTTAATCAATATGACGGCCTTGGAAGATTCGTTTTGTAGCTTTTTTGGGACAGAGTGTTGGAAAATCAATGCATATTACACTTTAACATGCAGGACAAGATTCTTTTGAGGGATAGGTGGAAGACACTATGCATGGTAAATATACTATGTTCTGGCAAGCAATCTTTTATATTTGTCTGCTAGATTTAGCTTTATGATTGACTATATTTAATTTACATCTTTGGTGACAGTTAACGTTGGTTCATGGGAACTCATGTAGGATAAAAAGTATTGGCCATAGCAAACAAAATGTTTAAGACAAAAAAATAACTTTGTTTTTATATGTTTCTTTGACAGTACAACAGCTCTTCTGTGTTTAGATAAGCTGACTGACTGAGTTTGGTTTTACGCCGCTTTTTGTTTAGATAAGAATAGATTATAATAATTCTTTTCCAAACCTTAAAAAACAAACATTTATTTTGCTTTTCTTGAAGAATTGATAAAAACTAGGGCAAATTGTCAATAAATTCATGTCATGAAAAACCTACACATGTTAGCAGCCGTTCCAACTGTGATGCATATTCATAGCACTAGAAAATCGTTTCAAGTGGCAAAAAAATACAGAGAGAAATGTGTTACGAGTTTTTTTCAGCATAAGCATAGCCTAGCAACCAATTGATTGAGCAAACAAAGGACCTGGATGATTCTCCATCTCATCGAACCAAGAAACTCTGGAGTTAGTCCTGTCAGAGTTACCTCCCCTTACACATGTCTATTTTCAAGGAAAATGAGCTGCAGTAGGTGAAGATACATAGACTTGGATCCTCAAGGAGAATCAGAACATGATTCTGAAATGAGTTAGTGATGTGGGGTGTGCACATGTAACATAAAAATCATGTGATCACTTGACATAATTAACTTGGGATAATGTACCTCATTTCAAATTTAGGAGTTGTTGGTGATCTGAACCCATTTCTATATCATATTGTTGCATTTAGAATTATTGTTTTTTGGTTACATGCTATTTTTAACCGTAAATCTGTGATATTCTATTTTTTAACTGCCCTTTGATGACATGTTTTTATACCATCTATGTTTCTGTTTCTATGTGGCTGAAATACTGCTGTCACTTTTTAACTCACTCATTCACTAGGAGCATCTTTTGAATTTCTCACAAAATCAGCATGTAAATGTAAATAAGAATGTCTTTATTATACCAAATCTTTTACAAGATTTCAGATCAAATATTTCTACATCAGAATGAATACAGATGCATTTAAAATTCATGTTATTTCTCAAGAAGAGTGAAATTGGAACTATAAAATTAAAGCTGCATACAATTTCTACATAACTGGATTAATGATTCAGAAGATATCAGATGAAAAGTGCTGCTACCGATTTTCTATCCAGCAAAT